TCTAATTAGTACATATTGTCTGCCGCCATTGTGTTCGTATCTCATGCCACCTTTTGGGGTGCTGCCGTAACACAATCTGTATCTCAAGCCCAACCTTCCTAATTAGTCACCCATTACGTACTTCTTGCCCTTGCAGGGTTCACAACAACCCCAGTATCCGCAATCCAGCCGTCTTCTTACCCGGAAGCTTCAATGGTCCCTCTCGCAGTTCCAGCCAGCAACCAATAGTTTTAGATATTAATGTTTCACATATTGACTCTTAATTGTAATCTGATCCTTCTTGTATAAACGATTCGGAAATAAAATTTGAAGATAAACCAAATAGGAATTTAGAATAGGATCTAGGTAATTGTGCACATACTAAGGGTATTGTAAAGAAGATTTATAAACATGGTGTTGAAGTAGCATGTGTGCCTATTACTATTTTTGGACAAAACATGTCAATTTTGAATGGATTAAAAAAAAAAATTCAAAAAATGTCAACGTATTAAATTTTATAGACATTTAAATTTTGATGATGATATGTCAATATTTGAATAGGCAAGCTTGGGTAGTTTAAAGAATGTCTACAAAAAGAAAAAAAAGAATTTCTTGAAATTTAAAAGCAAAAATTGCATATGACATTTGTCAAGGCTTATTATTTTTGAGTCACCTGAACACTTTTGTCATGATGTTCGTTGTGAGAATATAATGATGACCCATTATATGGAACCTAAGATTGCAAATTTGTATTTTGCAAAGCATGTTTCAGAAATAGGATTAAATAATAAAGACCATATCCCGAATCATATATCGAATGTTATAAATTGGTCAGCACCTGAAATGATGTAAAATAATGCCTTATATACTCAGGAATGCAAAGTTTTTAGTTTTGTAAATGCTTTTATAGAAGCTAGTATTTCAAAAAATTCCCTATGAAACATGAGTAAAGAAGATATTATTACTCATATTATACGGGGTCGTGGAGAAACTTCAAACCTACTATTTTATACCTTGGACTTACTGAACATTCAAAGAAAATACTTAAGAATCATTGCAGAAGGATGGAATTATAAACTAGAAAAAAAAAAAAAATTAAGATGGATGAAAATGCTATTGAAATTTTCAGATATTAAAGCTGAACTTAATAATAAATCTAAGAAAATAATTGGAATCTGCTAGACATTCTACAAATTCGCATAATTCTATTTCCGATAACAGGCGACATTTACTTTGGCTAGCCAATTCTATTTCTAATTCCAAGTGATATCTCCCAATTCCATTTCTGATTACAGACAATATTCATTTCAGCCATTTAATTCTATTTTTGATTATAAGCGACATTTACTTCAGTTAAAATCTAAGGAAAATTTAATACTGAATTTGGAAAGTGTAGGAGAATATTTATTCATTTATAATTAATCAAGAAACATGGGAAGTAGAAAAAACCAAGTAATATTGAACAATTATAAAAAAAAAAAAATTCACGATATTGAACTAAATAGCAATTTGCACTAAGATATCAAGAGAAAGTTTATAATCTAATAGGAAGAGATGAAGATGCAAATGTTGATCTAACAAAATTGGGTGATATTGCACAAAACACCAAATTTGCACTAAGATATCGAGAAAAGCCTATTATCTAACGAAAAGATATAAGGAAGCAATTATTGATCAAACAAAAAAAAAAAAAGTATCTCAATTAAATTTACCATTACTACCACAATTTCAAAAATTTTAGAATGCTAAAT